GAAGGGTCCTTCTAGCCCGAAAAAGTGAATTTTCAGAATGAATATTCACCACTTACATGAAAATTTTCAAAGAACTATCACATGGAAGGAGGACAACACTTGTGGTGAACGACCTAAAGCACAAAATTAGGAGCACTTCACTGGAAAACTATAAGGAGACTCAATCTTTTAAGTCAAGAAACAACCAAAGAATTGCTTGAAAGTCAGAGCCACGTAATGAGGGTTTTCCTCAGTTCCTAACTGCCAACACTTACATACATAGCATTTACTTGTTAACTTGTTTATTCCTCAAGACAATCTCATAACGATTATCATCTCTGGAGCACATACCACCACCCTCACCCGCCCCCCTCCAGGTCCCCACATCTTTGAGTAGCTTGGGGCCTTAGTCAGGCCACATAACCTGTCTAAAGCTTCAATTTCCTTATCTGTCAAATAGCAGTAATAATGGTACTTATCCCATAGGATTGTTGTGAGGATTAAATTAAATAATCTATGTAAAAGTACTAAAGCATGCTTGGCATATAATTAAGCACTCAAATATTAGCCGTTAAAATTAGCCTGTTTGTTACTGCTTACTACTTTACTGGGGTGGGGGGATACTGTTTCCCCCATATAAAATCAAAGTTTATAATATATTAAGGTGACCCTGATGGAATTTTACTGAATATAAAGCAAATTTTTAAAGAAATAATAAATGAAAGATCACTCCTTCCGTAAGATGACCTTTGACTAATTACACCAACAGCATTTTTTTCACAGTAGTAAATATATTCTCACTGAACTGTAATTACCACTATTTCCAGTAGTGAAACAAGAATCTAATTCCAATTATTTATTATTCTTAACAAAAGGAGAATTTTAGTGGATTGTCTCATGGTTTGGAGGTACCTAACAGCTAATTTTGCATTAAAAAATGTTCAGTGAATGTTACACTGATAATTATACACATCCATTAAGTAACTATCACTTGTTGAGTGATCATTCTGCACCAGGCAGTGGACTAGGCAGTTTGTACAGGTCATCTAATTTTACCCTCACAACAATCCTAAATAGAACAAAGACAAATAGTATTTCTTGGTCTTAATTTGAGGATAACATTCAGAGATTTACTGGAAAGTACATTTTCATGGTAATCCATTGAACTATATACACATGTGATTTGTATACTTTTCTGCACGTTATACTTCAAAAAAAAGGTTTAAAAAGAGAGGAAGCTGCTGGAAGTTAATTCAAGTGGCTGTCATACAGATTAACAGTGAAGTACTGAACTCTAAGTGGAATGACAAGAAGGCTTTGCTGAGGTGCCTGTTTTAAACCAAGATCTGGGTAGATTTTACTTATTCCAAAATGGTGACATGCACTTTCTTTCCATTTCAACACAAACAGGATTTGTTGTTGAGATTTCACCTGAATATTCAAACTCCACAGTTATGGGTGAAGATGAAGTCTTATTTTTATTTAAACTTAAATGAGATCTTATAATATTCAGATTAATTCTTTACCAAATAGTAATGATATAATAAGTCTTTTTTACTTCCTGTAATTTATAGTTAGAACAATGTCTTCCTCTCGACAGATTGCGTGAAGAGAAAATGAAAGAAAAACAAAAACACCAGGAGGAAAGGCTAAAAGCTGCTCTGGAAAGAGCAGTAGCACAGCCAAAGAAAAAGGTTTGTGTTTTGTTATTAGTAAGTCCAACTACATCAATGTGTGTTTCTGTGTTATTAAAACAAAATACCTAATTAATCTAATTTATCCAAGTTGAACTTCGGTAAGATTGCTGACAGCTTCAACTGACTACTCTCTAGTTCATTGATAATTTCAGAATAATTCAAATTACTGGGTCTACAGTTCTCCATTAGACTCATTTTTTTAGTAAAAGAAACCTCTCCTCTCTCCTCTTTTTCTTTACCTCCAGGTGCATGAAACTAGAGAATTAAAAAAATAATAACTGAATTACATATATAACTGGATTTTCTAATCCTCATATTGTAAAAATGAGATTTATAGTTGAAATTTAAAATGATTTACCCAGAGTCACTTCAGATTTAACAGCAGAATCTGACCAGAAGTCAAGGTTTTTCATATTGCAAGATTACCTGTTCAATAAGAAGTTTAGCACTGGGCAGTCATCAAATGCATGTGGTCGGTGACTCCCCCAGGGTGTGAAGGGTCTTTTGTTTCTATATGCCACTCTTCCTCCTCTGAGTTAGAGTCTGAAATATATTCCAGGGAGGCAATTTCATAATTATCTACAAAGCTAACGTGGACATTGATTCTTACCACAAGCATAGCTAACTTATAGTGAATGCTTATTGTGTGCCTTACAACCAAACTTTGAGGTTAAGTACTTAAAGTTCTGAAGTATGGTAACTGTTAATACGTACTACATCAAAAAGTGATGATTACTTTCATTTTATTTAAACAAGCATTTCATTTTTAAAGGTCTGTACTTATCTAGTCAGCTCTACCTATGAAGACCTGTCTTGTCCTCTCCTCCCAAGAGAGAATTAACTATTCATCACCTTGCTAGGTGTATATATACTATTATTCACTAAACCCACCAAATTAAAGTGATTATTTTTGAATACATCCATCTTTCCTTCTAGACCATGAATGAGTTTTACGACCTTAGTATTCCCAATGTCTGGCACATTGTCGACACTTAATAAATGTGTATTGAATTAACAGACTAAAAATGAGAATGAAAACTAAATCTGGAAGAAAAATTTTTTTTTAAATGTTGATAAGTCAACAATGTATGATCTCTGACAGAAGTTTTTACCCAGTTAGGTAGGATACTTCATCACTGGCAATTTTCTTAGACAGAAATTAATGATCAAGGATATCAAAGGAAACCATTGATAGTGAAAATAAAACTGACTTAGAAAAGGAATTTAAGGATTCCAGTCCTCAAGGGACATTTTTGTTGTATAATGAAGGGGAGGATTCCTATTGTTATTTAGTTCCCTGGAGCCAGGAATACCAGTCTGCAATGCAGGGGACAGTCACACACAGGGTTGGTGCCCCTTTTGAGACACAATGGAGATGTCCCATCAAATTTTAAGTCCAATTGAATATAATAGTTTTCTTATCCATTTAATTTACATAAATCAGATATAAAAGCAAAACAAAAAAAGGGGGCGGAGACTAAAAAAGAAAAATCAGAGTGATATACTTGAGTATATGCCCCAGAGAGAAAGAATAGGGGTGCATCCCTGGTGTCCCTAAGCCTCTCCTGGTGGGAACACCTCCAAAAGCCAAAAGGATTACTAGTACTTAAGAAGATAGTACATGGTTTTCTCAAGTTTTTGTTTAACAGGATTTTTAAATGTCAGTCAACTGGTGCTCAGGAGAGGAAAAGTGATCTAACCAATGGAGGAGAAACTAGCTGTAGCAGTACTGAGAAATGAGATGTTGGCCTCAAACATGGTGTTTTTCTAGGCTTACCATATATGAAATATAAGCTATTTGATGACTTTACCTAAATCCTCCCACTTCCCCATAAAACCTAACTGCTCTGTCTTCTGCATACTATGACACTCCATTTGTTAACTCTGCCTACAGTGGACATACATTAGGTTTTCAATACCTTTGTAATTGTAATTATTTGCTATTTTAAACTATATTATTCTTTGGAGAAATCGAAGTTAATATTAGTATTTTAGTTATACTTCAATAGAAAATGGTTATGTGAAGAATATCAAATATTTTTTCTTTTGTTTCAGCTGGGAAGACGACTTATTTATCGTTCAAAACCTCCATCTGGTAACAAACGTGAACTACTTTTAGTCAAGGATACGAAAACAAAATCACTGGAGGAAGAATATTTCTTCACTTGAATAGGAGCAGTAAGACATTTACCAGAATGCTTAAGGAATATTTTATAGATTTTGCTTTTTAATAATGGCATTATTCTGCCCCATATGGAAGCCTAACCAATTTAAGAAGACAGGCCCTTATTCTAAAAGGTCCTTAGGATTGGAAATAGGAGTTATTTCCTTTTGTTGAAGACTTTTATTATCTATCCTAACCATTATTTTATATAGCTAAACTTTTACATCTATACTTTCTATTGTCCCAGTTGGAGATACAAATCCAAAGTTACTTTATTGATGTAACCATATGGTGAATGACCATTTAAGTGTAATAATGGCATTCTCTGACTACATGAGACTTTAAAAGATCTCTTTTTCAACCAGCCCACAGGGAAGTTCATAGTGTACATTTTATTACTGTGGAGTATACATTTTAACAATGTACACCTCTAAAATACAGGTTTTGTGGAGTTTAAAACTTAGATGAAAACCAACAGGTTATGTTCTCCAAACATTTGAGATTGTTTTTTAATTCATATTAAGGAGTTCTGTTCAGAAAACTTAATTCTTTTAAGTGAACAAACCATATGCCTTCAGTCTAAATATCAGTTCACAATTTGTTATGTTCTATATTCAAAATCATTTTAATTTTCAGGTAATGTTTCAATTTTAGCTATAATATGTACATCATTTAGCTTACAAATGATATAGAATTAACATGTAATTTTTTTGACTACTAAGGAAAATAATACAATCTATATTAATTCTTTGAAAATATTTAACTTTATGTATGTCAAAAGTGGCTCAAAAATAACTTTAAAAGAATGGTTGCTTTTAAGTTTCAGTTAATATGTAATTACAGATAAGGGCTTAAGTTCATCTTCATAAACATTTATAAAGCATAAAAATGTCCCTTATAGAAAAAAAAATACAGCATTGGGCTTATATGAAAACCAACTTGAATAAAGCTAGATAGCTTTTAAACCATTAGTTCTGTGAATAATCTTTCAGTTCTTTCAACATCTGAACTCTGCATGCAAATATCTGAATATGAACAGCTCGCAGTCAAGATGAAAAACAAACAAATCTTTATTGTCTACAAATATATATAAAAAAATTCCCCCCAAAAGACGCTATTCTCTCATTTCCCCATCTTCTTCCTCTTCTTCAACACCCCTGATATAAAGGACATTATTACACCTGTAAACAGAAAAACAGTCCATTTTGTTGTTCCAACCAGAAACCATATATTACTATTACTAGACTTTTTCATTTCAAAAATACGAATGCTAAATTTATAACATATCATTTATTTCTCGTTTTAAAAAAATTTACTTTTGTTAAAAAGCACATGGTACTCATTTTTCTACCATGTGGTTGTTATACAATGATATCTGTATAATCTTCCAAAGGGAATAATGACTACAATTTGGAGGTGTGAAGCTAGTGGTAGAAAATAAATATAATACAAAAATCCCTAACAGCAGCCAGACCCACCTAAAATTTAAAACCAAGCTCTTGTGTCTAAAACCACTGAAAAAGGTACAGTTAAGAGCTAGGAAGTTTAATTTCAACACTAGAAAAAAAATCTTAATGAATAGCTCCAAAATACTTAAATCTGCTTTGTCAAGTTTAATGATTTCAAGACTCTTAAAGTCTAGTAGTAGAATATTATATTAAATTAATAGTGATTTTTTTTAAAAGTAATTCTGAGGTTGGGGCACTAATTAGTTTATTTAAACAAGTATTTCTAATGCTCACCAATAACTCCTTATATATACTATTACTGTTTTGTTACCTTATTAAAACTTCACCCAGGTGTCCAGACAACGCTCCATCTATGTATTCTTCTGTGTTTGCAAGCTTTAAATAAAAAGAAAATGTATTAATATAATCATATAGGAGGAAAATACTATTACACACCTAATACTGGTGAGAGGACTTATTATGAGACCTTTTGGTACCAACACTCACATTTATCAATAAATAATAATTAGAAGATCAGCTTTCTATTACCATTGTAGTACTTTTTGGTTTCATATAAATATTCACTAAAGTTTTACATTGATGGATATAGAACTAATATATAATAAAGTTCATTTCAACACAATTTTTTAAGTTTCTCAGTAACATACTATTTCTTTCTATTAAATGGTAAACAACATGTTGAGGAAGAGTCTCCAATTTACGAATAAGCTGTGAATAACTCAGTTCTAAAGAACCAGGTATCAACTTTTCTTGGAGTAATAGCATTATATCATTTTGAGGAACCCAATGGATACAAAAGCTATGGCTAAAATACCAAACACTTTTATATTAGTCAACAACCAAACCAAAGAACTGAGTAAGAATTTTTTAAAATTATGTGCTAATAAACAGGAAAGAACAAGTTCTTGAGGTTAAACAATTAAGAGTGAACTTCACAGTTATTTCAGAGAACTTTATTATTTCATTTTACATCAAAATGTTTAGCTTTCTTTCTATACATAGGTAATAAACTTTACTTGCAGTTTTTAAAAATTATGATCAGCACTACTGAGACTCACAAAAGAAAACAGGAGAGATAGGAAAGAAGGAAGTTTCCTTCAGTAACTAGGCAAGTGGGCAAAGAGAAAGAAAAAGGGGGCTTAGAGAAGATGTGAGGTGAGGCATTTAAAACATGTTAGTGAATTAATAAATGGTACTGGACATTATTCTTTCCCCTGTAGAGAAAAGAAAGTAACTTCTTGTACCCAAAGGATATGGCTTTGTCTGAAAAAACGTGGCTACTGAGATAATCAGTTTTCTATGTAATAGCTCTCAGAAATAATGTATTAACATCAACTAATTTTGTGGGTGGGTATAGCTCAGTGATAGAGCGCATGCTTAGCATGCACAAGGTCCTGGATTCAATCCCTAGTACCCCCATTTAAAAAACAAACAAACACCAAAACTTGTAACATCAACTAATTTTTTTTAAAAAAGTGATTATTTTCAGCAGATGTTCACCAACATTTAATTGGTTTCTAAATCATATAATTCTCCAAAGGCCTTCATTACATTTTTAAAAATTGAACTATAGCTGATTTACAATATTGCATTAGTTTCAGATGTACAGCAAAGTGATTCAATTATATATATATACTTTTTCCGATTCTTTTCCATTATAGGTTATTACAAGATATTGAATATAGTACCCTGTACTATACAGTAAATCCTTGTTTATTTTATTCATAGTGGTGTGTATCTGTTGATCCCATACTTGTAATTTATCTTCCCCATTCCCTTTGGTAACCATGTTTGTTTTCTACATCTATGAGTCTACTTTTGCTTTATAAATAAGTTCATCTGTATTATTTTTTAGATTCCATACATAAATGATACATAATATTTGTCTTTTTCTGTCTGAATTCACTTAGTATGATAATCTCTAGGTCCGTCCATATTGCTGCAAATGGCTTTATTTCATTATTTTGTATGGCTGAGTAGTATTCCATTGTGTGTGTGTGTGTGTGTGTGTGTGTGTGTGTGTAAAACACACACCACATCTTCTTTATCCATTCATCATCTATCGATGGACACTTAGATTGCTTCCATGTCTTGCCAATTATAAACAGTGATGTTATGAACATGGGGTGCATGTACCTTTTGAGTTAAGAGTTTTCATCTTTTTTGGATCTATGTCTGGGGTGGGATTGCTAGTTCACATGGTAACTCCATTTTTAGTTTTTTAAAGAATCTCCATACTGTTCTTCATAGAGGCTGTACCAATTTACATTCCCACCAACAGTGTAGAAGGGTTCTCTTTTCCTTGCACCCTCTCCAGCATTTATTATATGTAGACTTTTTCATGACGGCCATTCTGACTGGTGTGAGGTGATACCTCACTGTAATTTTGATTTGCATATCTCTAAATAATTAGTGATGTTGAGCATCTTTTCATTTGCCTTTCTTCTTTGGAGAAATGTCTATTTAGGTCTCCTGCTCATTTTGATTGCATTGTTTGTTTTTTGGTGGGTTTTTTTTTTTTGTTA